GAGAAAAGGGAACCCTAGTGGGAATGAAAATTGGTGCAGCCTCTGTGGAAAACAGTAGGAAGGTTCATCAAAAAATTAAGAATAGATTACTTTATCACCCAGTAATTCCTCTTCTGGATATCTACGTAAAAATTTTGAAAGCACTTATTTGTAAAAAGATACATGTATGTACCCTCATGTTTATTGCAGCATTATTCACAATAACCAAGACATGGAAACAACCTAAGTGTCCTTTAACGGGTGATTGGGTAGAGAAGATGTGGTGCATGTACACTATGGAATATTACTCAGCCACTAAAAGGACGAAATGCTGCCGTTTGGACAACATGGATGGACCCTGAGAGCATCATGCTGAGGGAAATAAGACGGAAAAGAACAAGAATCACCTGATTTCACTCATACGTCGGATAGAAAACTGAAATCAACAAATGAGCAAACAAGACAAACTCACAGACCCAGACGACAGAATGGTGGTGACAAGGGGAGGGGGCGGGGAGGGTGGCGGGTGAAGGGCCAAGCGTAGGGCGATGGATGGAGACTGGCCTCTGGGTGGGGAGCACACGATGGACACACAGATGATGTGTTTATATAAATCCTTGCACCTGAACTTATGCAATGTTATTAACCAAGGTAATCCCAATAAATTTAATTTTAAAAAGACAGTAAAGTGTTTACATTCTCAACGATAAAACAAAAGATTCTCTATTACTAACGTCTAGAGAATGTTAATTAAGGAGAGAAAAAAAATCACTGAGGACCTATTTAATCTGGGGGGTTGGTAGAAAAGACTTCTTTGTGGAGCAGGGCAATGGAGGGGAGGAATGGGGGGCATCTGTAATATCCTCAACAATAAAGACAGATAAATTTTTAAAAAATTAAAAAATAGTAATAAAAGAAAAGGGTTCTCTGAAATATGAATTCTTGAGCTGAGAGAGGAAGGATGGGTAATTGTGAATGAGGAGAAATTTTAAAAGGGCAAGCATTTGGGGTTAAGAGAACAGAATAATCAGTTGCACTTGGGTCGCTGAGCTTGGTAACAGAAGGGATTTGAGAGACCAGTGAGATGGAGAACAGATAATGGGGGTCGGGAGGGACAGAGTGGGCAAGGCCCACAGTTTGAGCTCCATGTACTATTCCTTCAAGTGCCTCTCGTTGTTGTAATTTTATGTTCATTTGTGGGTTAGAAGTTGTAAT